TGTTCAAATTTGCATAAAACCTTTGGTTCATCAGTCCTACCTCATTTATATCATATCATACAGCTTCAAATTACTGCCGATGTTCATGTACACATCTATAATCTAGTACATAGATTATGACTCATATTCCGTAAAATTCTAAATAATATTTATAATCTAATCCGAGAATCAGACACGTGTTCTGAATTTTCATTACTTTTTTTTGCATTTTTCAAATACCAAACCCAATTAGTTCCGTAATTTGGAATTTGTTGCTAGACTCATTACACTTGACTCACAAAACATCTTCAATCAACGAGACGGAATTAAAAACAAATTCACAACCTGCAATTAAAATCGAATAATTAAATGTCGAATTTTAATAATTCTAAATTAGTTAAGTTAGAAATCAATATCATTGGATGTCTTTACAAAGAGAGTGGGAGAGAGAGAAAGAGAGGGAGCGAATTAAAGTACATTTCAATCCAAAAGATCATCACTATCAGCGTTGTAATAAGCTGAAATTTAGCTTCGAAAAAAAAAAACATCGCGCATCTCAAGAAAAAGTGAAGGGAATTTCCGACACATTAAACAATGGCAACAAACTGGGCTAGTAATGAACAGCACGTTTTGTGACTGGGTCATCGCTATCATCACCATCATCATCAGCGCCATTCCCAACTAAATAACGTCATACCGCTGTTACATAGTTGGTATGCAGTCATCTTTAACAACAATTGCCAATTGCAGTTAACAATTGAAATAAAAGAAATCTTTAACATGCCACTGCACTTTAGTTGCAGGGAAGCCTTCATGAAACGGAACATTTGCAGCAGGTGGGGTAAAGGGTACTTCAATAGCTGTATATGTTGTTGATTGCGTTTGCTTTAATCTGCAAAAGAAGTAGAAGAAGAACCGTACCTATTGATATGGTATTTTCATACATTTTAGACAAAACGATTAAAGAATGACCTTTACCATGAGCGGATAATAAATACACTGTTTCCATGGCAAAGAAAACTTTAATCTTTCCAAAAATATGCCACAAATACGTTAAATGTGTTAAGCGGGTTTTATAATACCAAAACTAATGCTAATGGATTGGTTTGGTTATTATCCATAAAGATGTAGATATTTCCGATCATCGTAAAATTCTGGTTTAGCATAGCCATATCGAGTATATCAAATAAAATTTCGAAATCCTACAAATTACACCAAATTTTTAGAAAATTATATAGATACTTTTTGAAAAAATATTGCAGAATGTTAGAATTATGTCCCTACCTACCTATATATTAGTTTCCTGTGAAACCAAACTATAACTGCTCCAAGTTTGATTTCAGAGGGAACTAATATATAGGAGGTATATCCAATTCTAAATCGATTTTCACTAAATTTGACGGAGACATTTTAATCTTTTATATAAAATAACAAATGATATCACCTCGAGAATGATTATATTAAAAATATATATATTGGAGCCGAGTTGCACAAAATGGAAATGTACGTCCCGAAATTCACTCCCTTTCATTAGCCACTACTTGCACAATAAACCTGAATTCGGATTAAGGATTTATATGGGAGCAACATCCAAATCTTATTCGTTCTTGATAAAATTTGGCAAAGGTTTTTCTATAAGATATCTTGTACCAAATATCATTGTTGTCGAATGCCTAGTATGAATAGGACTTTCTTTACTGGTTACTTGTTATGCTATTAAAATTGGATTTAGCAACCCAAAGCAGAGAATGTTGAATTATTTTTTATGATTTCGAAGAAACTTGATGTACTTATTGAAGTATAGTCATTTCATCATTAAATGTGAGTGTTTTATCTATCATTTTTAGATTGAATGTTATGTTTAATGGTTCTATCGATAATTTTTCCTCGAAGACATATACATATTCACTACTACTTACAGGAGAAATAAACTCTAAGAGTTCCCCTTTCTTTAGCATTTTTTCGCATCATAATCTTAAAAAGAGGTTAATATCAACTTTCCAGGGCAATCCTTGACACTCTCAACATTTTTCCCATATTACTGGAAAAAAGTGTTTAATTTACCACAAATTGGTTTCAGCTGCATATATCTGCATCTGTGGACCCTATTCGTGTTTTAAAATGATACTTTAACCTTTAAATTACGGAAAATGTGGAGGTACCTTTATATGGGAGGTATACCACAGAGAGAAGTTTTTTTGTCAATTTTTTGCAAGAAGGTTTATATTGTATTCAGAATCCAAAATGCCAAAACATACTCAATGTTGACAAAACAAAACAAAACACATCCATGTTTTACCCTATCCCAAACACGAATGTTAAATTTCAGCAAAATCGATTCAAAACAAAAAATCCTCTAAATAAATAATATGGAGGGAAGGTTCTACGGTAGCTATTATCAATTTCAATGACTCCATATTTACATTATGTTGCAAGGACATGAGGTACCCATTAACAACACCAGAATTAAAATGCAGCTAAACACTTCAAATCGGTGGGTAATGTTATATGGGGTCTAAACCTAAACGTGGACCTTCACAATTTTTGGATTACATAATTTTTGACTCATTATGAGGTTAGATTAATTGTTGGTAGTCCAAAAAAACTCCTTTTCACATTCATCCTTAATTTTATTAGTCTAAAATAGAAACTTGAGTACAAAATTTGGAAACAGTGTAATTTTTATAGACAACAACAAAAAACTTACGTCGACTTATCTTCGAGCATTACATTGCAAATATTCATTCATGCCAAACAGAAGTTAACATTTGCATGCATTATCTCAATACAATGTTATTTCAATTAAAAATCAAAATACTTCAGAGGTCATTGTTGCATTTCATGACAAGCAGGCAGATGAATATATGCATTGTCATATGTGTGTGCATATTCTAAATGTTCGGTAGACTTTAAGTCGACAGACCAGGAACTTAATGTTAATGACCCAAAGTGATGGGAGAGTTTCGTTACGTATTTGAGTCTCTAAAACTCTATTTGTGTTTAACTAAACTGAAACGAGGGACATATAAAATTTCATCAAAAAGGCAAAAAAAATATATATATCAATACGAAAAATAACTATAAATATAAATTCGGAAACTTCTTAGCCTATTAATGAAAAAAAGTTTAAATCTCCAATATAATCCCCTGAAACTTCAATACACTTAGTTCAATGCTTTTCTAGCAATTCTATCCCTTGATTAAAATAGTTTTTCTCGAGGTCTTCAAAATAGTGGGTTACAACTGCATTGCATTGCATCGTATTTGTATTTGGGATTTTTTTAGTGCCAAATCTGCTTTCCAAAATACTCTAGAAACAATAGTCCAACGGATTGGTACCGTTGAGATTGAGATTGAGGTGAGATTTTGGTGGCCATTTTGCGCTGGAAATGAAGCGAGGAACCTCATTTTGTAACCAATCTTTGGTGGCACGTGCTGAGTCCTGTTGGAATGGCCATGGTCTGCGGCCAAAATGTTTGCGTGCCCAAGGTTTTAATACGCCCTTCAGAATATTTTCGCGATAATATTCGGCATTTATTCTGATACCACGGCGGTCCACACCATCACCATGGCCGACGCTTGGGTTCTGGTGGCCAACCGAAGGTGCACATTTTCAGCTGACCTCTTTGGCAAGTAAACACGATCATTTTGTTGGTTTACTAACTTGTGAAAAACGAAAGTTTTCTTATCTGAGGAAACCAAATTCGGCAGTGCACCACTTTCGGCCAAGCAAAACAACTTTTAGTTCTTTTGAGTCTATTTTCTTTCTGTTGCTGTGTAAGTTCATTTTTCAATATTTGTTGAATGGATTTTTGCGGTCGTTTGGAATCGATCTAGCGGCGTCCGTCCGCCCATCAGTTAGTCTGTCTTACTGGCTGGTGTCCACAATAGCTTTCGAAGGGTATATTCAATTTCGTCCACATTTGGAATATCGTAGTATCTATCAAGCTTGGGTTTGAGATGGATGCAATCGGTTCGCCCCTTTTGCTAACTCTCGCACAAAATGTCAACATTATAAAAGAAATTAGCAAGCCAAGGTCGTATTCGATATTGCTCGCACTTGAGTTGAGAAAATAAGGAAAATCGTTCCACTCCTTAAGGTCCTCACCCCACAAAGTCCAACATTTTTAATTTAATGTGTAGTCAGACTTCTCATGCCTCAAAATTTTTATTAATATAAGATCCTGTGTCGAAAGGAGAAATTAACTGAAAAACTTATTTTGTACTTTCCCTAAAAAAGTTGCGGAAAAACCTCACGGACCTTATGAAATGGGTGTATATCTGTTGGCAATTTTGAGACTGATGCTTTCTTATTTGTGAATATCACACCTCTATAGAAACATTTTAGAATAGCTTAATAATGACACTAAAGTTCATACCATCCCCAGGGCAACAAAAATCTGCTCCAAACTTAATCGACAACTCAAGAATATACCTATAGTTAATTGACTACATTTGCTTAACGGAATTCAAAATAATCCTCTAATTATTTATTATTTTGTAAAAAAGATAATGTCATAGATAACGTTCTAATCACTTCTCAATTGTATCTTCACATACGGATTTCCCATTGTCGGCATCTTAAATAAAATAATATTTTTTTTGGTAAATTATTATTGGTCATAATTGTTTTATGAATATTTTTCGAATAAATTTTTATTAACATCGCACTCGTCAGTTTGTAACTCGTCTTTCCGTATCGATAGCATCAAATTGACATTTACCAGAAGACAGACAGATACGGACAGATGTGCAGCTTGGCAATCGGCTCGCAATGTTTCAATGGCTTTTATTTCTCCATCTTCTTTAGGATGGTTATCTATGGTTAATGCATAGCCTGTAAATTTAAGCAATGCCATGTTGTTAATGCCAAGCTGACATGAAAACCCTGGGCAACTCGTAAAAATAAATATTTTTTTTGTTGTTTTTTGTTGGATATCGAAATCTAAGATAAACTCTCAAACATGATTTAGATATGAAAATGCAAATTAAATGGTTTTCGTTTTGTTTTATCATTGCAGCCATTCTTGATGATACTGCTGACGTTAGCTCATGGTGCCCGCTTAGATAATCGATACCTTCCGCCCCCACCTAATGCTGCCACGGCCGGTGGTGGTCCTGGTCTTCAAGGTCCAGGAGGCGGTGGTGGACCAGGAGGCAGGCCAGGTGGATTTGGTGGTGGTGGCGGCGCTGGCGGAGGTGGTGGCGGAGGTGGTGGAGGAGGTGCAGGCGGTGGTGGCGGTGGGGGATTTGGAGGCGGAGGTGGCGGTGGCGGCAACAATGGCCTTGGAGGTTTCTCCGGTGCAGGTGGCCCAGGTCGACCATTTGGACCCTCCGGTGGTAGTGGTCCAGGAGCGCGGCCCAGTGCACCTTCCGGCCCCTCTGCACCAGCTGGACCAGTCATTCCAATTCTATCCTTTGTAAATGAAAATGATGGCGATGGCAACTATCGCTTTAGCTACGAAACGGGTAATGGCATAAAGGCTGAGGAAGAAGGCACAGTTAAAAATAAAGGATCTGACAATGAAATTCCCTCAGTGATGGGTACATATTCATATACTGCGCCCGATGGTCAGGTGATAGAAGTTGCTTATACCGCCGATGAAAATGGTTTCCAACCACAAGGAGATTTGTTACCAACTCCTCCTCCAATACCTGAGGCGATAGCAAAGGCTCTGGCTGCCCAAGGAATTCAACCGGCACCTGGTGGTGGTTTCATTGGTGGAACTGGTTCAGGTGCAGGTGCAGGTGGTGGCGGAGGCGGAGGCGGTGGAACTGGACGTGGAGGTGGTGCTGGAAGTAAGTATATCGAAATGTGTTGAAAATCAAGGATAATAAAATGTTTGTTGTGTCAAAGGTTTTGGTGGAGCCGGTGGTGGCACCGGAGCTGGCGGATATGGTGGTGGCGGAGCAGGAGGTGGTGCCGGTAGAGGTGGAGGCGGTGGAACAGGTGCCGGCGCAGGTGGTGGATTTGGTGGAGGAGCAGGAGGTGGAGCTGGTAGAGGTGGTGGAGCCGGAGGATTTGGCGGTGGTTCTGGCGCAGGTGGTGCTGGTGGCGCCGGTGCTGGAGGCGGCTATGGCGGTGGCGCTGGGTCAGGCGGAGGTGCTGGTAGAGGCGGTGGAGCTGGCGGAGGAGGTGCCGGCGGTTTTGGCGGTGGCGCCGGAGCTGGTGGTAGAGGTGGAGGTGCCGGTACTGGTGGCGGTTATGGTGGTGGGGCTGGGGCAGGTGGAGGTGCTGGTAGAGGCGGGGGAGCCGGTGCTGGTGGTGCCGGTGGATTTGGAGGAGGTGGCGCTGGAGCCGGTGGCGGTGCTGGTAGAGGAGGTGGAGCTGGCGCAGGAGGTACCGGCGGATTCGGTGGTGGTTCCGGGGCTGGTGGTTTTGGCGGTGGCGCCGGAGCTAGTGGTAGAGGAGGAGGTGCCGGTGCTGGCGGCGGTTATGGTGGTGGCGCTGGTGCAGGTGTCGGTGGCGGTGCTGGTAGAGGTGGTGGAGCCGGTGATGGTGGTGCTGGTGGATATGGAGGAGGTGGTGGCGCTGGAGCCGGTGGCGGTGCTGGTAGAGGAGGTGGAGCTGGCGCAGGAGGTGGAGCTGGCGCAGGAGGTGCCGGCGGATTTGGCGGTGGCGCCGGAGCTGTTGGTAGAGGTGGAGGTGCCGGTACTGGTGGCGGTTATGGTGGTGGCGCTGGGGCAGGTGGAGGTGCTGGTAGAGGCGGGGGAGCCGGTGCTGGTGGTGCCGGTGGATTTGGAGGAGGTGGCGCTGGAGCCGGTGGCGGTGCTGGTAGAGGAGGTGGAGCTGGCGCAGGAGGTACCGGCGGATTCGGCGGTGGTTCCGGGGCTGGTGGTTTTGGCGGTGGCGCCGGAGCTGGCGGTAAAGGAGGAGGTGGCGGTGCTGGCGGCGGTTATGGTGGTGGTGCTGGTAAAGGCGGTGGAGCCGGTGGATTTGGAGGAGGTGGCGCTGGAGCCGGTGGCGGTGCTGGTAGAGGAGGTGGAGCTGGCGCAGGAGGTGCCGGCGGATTTGGCGGTGGTTCCGGCGCCGGTGGTGCTGGAGGTCGTGGCGGAGGCGCCGGTGCAGGCGGAGGTTATGGTGGTGGCGGTGGTGCTGGTGGTGGAGCTGGCAAAGGCGGTGGAGCGGGCGCAGGTGGTTATGGAGGCGGATCAGGCGCCGGCGGAGGAAGCGCCGGTGGTTTTGGTGGTGCCGGTGGCTTTGGCGGTGCCGGTGGTAAAGGAGGCGGTACCGGTGGCGCTGGTGGTTTTGGTGGCGGTGCAGGTGGTGCCGGTGGAAGAGGAGGTGGGGCTGGTGTTGGAGGCGGGTTTGGTGGTGGTGCCGGCGGAGGTGCTGGCGGAGGTGCTGGTGCAGGTGGCGGCGCTGGTAGAGGAGGCGGAGCAGGAGGAGCTGGTGGTTATGGAGGTGGTGCAGGAGGTGCCGGTGGCTTCGGTGGTAGCGGTGGTGCCGGTGGAAAAGGAGGAGGTGCCGGCGGCTTCGGTGGCGGTGCTGGTGGAGCCGGTGGAAGAGGAGGTGGGGCTGGTGTTGGAGGCGGTTTTGGTGGTGGTGCCGGCGGAGGTGCTGGTGCAGGTGGTGGCGCTGGTAGAGGAGGCGGAGCAGGAGGAGCTGGTGGTTATGGAGGTGGTGCAGGAGGTGCCGGTGGCTTCGGTGGTGCCGGTGGAAAAGGAGGCGGAGCAAGCGCCGGTGGCGGTTTTGGTGGTGGAGGTGCCGGCGGCTTCGGTGGCGGTGCTGGTGGAGCCGGTGGAAGAGGTGGTGGAGCTGGCGCTGGAGGCGGTTTTGGTGGTGGTGGTGCTGGTGGTTACGGTGGTGGTGCGGGAGGTGCTGGCGGTAAAGGTGCTGGTGCTGGTGGTGCAGGCGGTTTTGGTGGTGGTGGTGGTGGCGCCGGTGGCGGTGCTGGTGGTAGAGGAGGTGGCGCTGGAGCTGGTGGCGCTGGCGGTTTTGGTGGCGGTGCTGGTGCCGGTGGTAAAGGAGCTGGTGGTGGCGCTGGAGGTTTCGGTGGAGCCGGTGGTTCGGGTCCTGCGCCAGGCTTGCCGGGTCGTGGTCATCCAAGTGGCGATTTTAATCCCCAAACTGGTTACAACTATTAAATCTCAATCACTCTTTAAGCCTCAGTACTCAATGCAACGATATCTGCCACAAATACTCGTAGCATCTAAGCCCCTATACTAATTTACTTTACTTTAACTTACCCGATATTGCAAAAAAATTATATTTTCATACCTCCTACACTACACTATACTACAATACTCAAGTTCAAGCGTTAATTAATTTAAGTAACTTCATTTAAACAAATCATTAGCCTACCGATGTTCATTTTAAGAAGTCCTTGTGTTTATTCGTTTTCTCATTTTGTTTTATGTGAACTTTAGTGTAATAAGTAAATCATTGTTAAATTCTGTTGTTTTTCTTTTGTTCATCGTGAGAATATGGCTAGTGAGCGATTTCAAAATTTGATTAAGGTGAGATTTCGTGAAATCCTTTGAAAGCACAGAAGCAGCATTTGCCAAATTTTATGTAAATATAATTAAGTTCGAATGTATAACAAATGCAAATGAATAATAATAAAAAATATTTAACAATATAGGATGTACATATTTGGAAGGTAGCGGATACAAAGGTTTGTATTACAATGAGGTCACCATTTGGGATAGCAATTGCAGAATTTTTCTAGCAAATAATATTTTTTGTTACTAAGCTATCGATAGGTGTTAGAAATTTCCAATTTAACATGAAATATGGAGGGTTTCTGAATAGACTAACTTTAATGATTTACAAATAAATAAAAAAATTAATAAAATATTTAAACAAGTAAGCAAAGGCTATAGTCGTGCGGGGCCGACCATGTGATACCCTACAACACACCAATATATTAGAAGCCCCCTTATGTCCAAATCGAATTTTGGAAGATTTCGCTTTTAAAATTATGTCACGGAGCAGTGTCCACATATTACCCTTAGCATTTGGACCAAGAATATTTGCCCAATATTTACGCACTTCATCTTGCTGTTAGTTGTTGTGGTCCATTTTACAGCTAAATATATTTCAATGGTCATCCAAAATGCTAGACTTCTTCGCTGTCCTTAACTCTCTTCTCAGGCGTGTTTATTGGCTTCAATTGTCTGATCAGGAATTTTTTTCTATTTTTGGTTCATTTGAACCCCTAAATATTTTGCGATCATCTCCAAAAATAAGAGTTCTCTCTGTATTCTAAATTTATACTCATTTATATGTTTTGGTTGTCTTCGATATTTGGCTATATTCGTCAACGAAATCAGCATAAACAAGTAAGCAAAGGCTACAGTCGAGCGGGGCCGACCGTTAAATACTCTACAACACTATAATAAACGATACAGTTTATATAGGCGAGATACTCGAAAGAATTCCACAAGATATTGTGACAAATAATAAAAGAAAACCATCAGGTTTCGTTCTCTAATTTTCGAATAATAGCAACTTAAACTAATTTGCTCATTTCCAATTTATTGGTAGATGTTGCACGTAAATGGTCTTCCTAGATCTCGAACCAATATTTCCCAAACACCCAAAATCTCTTAGAAGTGGCAAAAGATTAACATTTATTATTGGTTTTTGACTGAAACGCATCTATATGAGATACAGCCATTTGACTATATTCTTCAACTAAATCAGCGTTAACGAAGAAGTCACTGTAATGGACATTTTCGTATTTTGTCTACAAAAGTTGGCAAACTATTTCACACATTGAATATTTTTGGATGGCCATCCAAAACTGCTTGGCTTTTGCAATGTCCGGTAACCCCCATTCAAATGTGCGTGAGGATCGGGCGATAATTACGACCTGCTGACAATTTTGCAGTTTTTTGGTCCATTTCAACCCCTAAATATATGGCGATCATCTCCAGAAAGAGTAGGCTTCTATTCTGACCCTCATCTGATCCCCATGCAAAATTTCGTAAGGATCGGACCATAAATGCGATCTGTATATCATATCCTGATATCCTAACTACTTAGTTTTGTTAGCTGTAAAAATATTACCAAATGTTTAATTCAAAATGAAAATATGCCAAAAATATGACAATTGAAAAAATATGAGAAAATTTACAAAATCAATATTTTCATCTTTAGAGAGATATTTTTATGCAATTTTTTAGGCGTTTTTTCTTTTCTGCCAAGAGGTCATTCTGAATTAATGAGAACTGTCGAAATCAGTTCAGCCGTTCTCGACATAAAAGAGTTCTTTCAAGCATATCTCCTTTGATAGACATATATGTCGCACATATTTTGCTATATATCCGATTTGATGGATGTTAACATCAATGTAAAGATCAGAAGTAACCCTGTCATGGCTTTGTGATTTCGCCGGGATTTAAAATATTCGCGGTTTAATGAAAAATTTCGAACTTTTTCAATACAAAAGATATGGTCTATTTTACCCGCTAAATATAATCCGATGACCACTCAAATTGGTAAGCTTCTTCCCCGCCCTAAACTCTAGCTACATGCGAAATTCCGCGTCGATTGGTCTATAATTGCGACCTGTATAGCTACTGCAAAATCCGACATTTTTTCAGTATTTGGTCCATTTCAACCCCTAAACATTTGGCGATCATCTCCAAAAGAAATAGGGTTCTATTCTGACATTAACCCCACCTACATTTTAAATTTCGTGAAGTTCGGACCATAATTGCGACCTGTAGAGTGATTACAAATTAACATGGACAGACGGACAGACGGACGGACGGACATACATAGCTAGATCGACTCAGCTCGGCGAGCTAGGAAGATCCATATATACTTTCCTATATGGGAAACCAATATTTCGAGGTGTTACATAAATTCTGGCCCAATCAAACTTATAATACCCCCAACACATAGTGTTGTAGGGTATAAAAAGTCAGAAGTTCGCATTTTGTGTACTTCGGATATCGCCTGTAAGTAATGTTGGTACTTTTTCACACAAAAATTGTGGTCCATTCCACCCGCCATCCTAAACTTTAACTTCAAAAAATCACAAAATACTACAAAATCTATATTAACATCATTATTGGCATCTTTTATGCGATTTTTTAGATTTTATTCTTTTATACCAGGAGGGCATCCAGAAATGAAAAAACTTGTCAAAATCGGTCCAGCCATTCTTGAGATATAAGCATTTTAGCTAACATCCCCTTTTTATACCCTCCACCATACTATGGAGGGTATATTAATTTTGTCATTCCGTTTGTAACTCCTCGAAATACTCACGTCAGACCCAACAAAGTATATATATTCTTGATCAGCGTAAAATTCTAAGACGATTTAGCCATGTCCGTCTGTCTGTCTGTGTGTCTGTCTGTCCGTCTGTCTGTCTGTCTGTCTGTTGTAATCACGCTATCTTTCGAACAAATTGAGATAGAAGGCTAAAATTTTGCACACATGTATATTTAGCCAGTAGGCAGGTTAAGTTCGTAAATGGGTCATGTAGGTCCAAGTTTTCATATAGCCCCCATATAAAGGTACCTCTCGATATTCGGTATTTTGATGATTTTAGCGACATTATTCACCGGAATTGTTTCAAATTTGGCATTTGAAGTTCGTAATGGATACTACAGCCTAAGACAGAAAATTATCTGTGCAGGTCCGCGTCTTCGTATAGCCCCCATATAATGGTACCCCCCGATATTCGGTATTTTGATGATTTTAGCGACATTATTTAACGGAACCGTTCCAAATTTGTGTATTTGAAGTTCGTAATAGATACTGCAGCAGAAAACAGAAAATAGGCCATGTAGGTCCACGTCTTCGTATAGCCCCCATATACCGTACCCCCCGATATTCGGTATTTTGATGATTTTAGCGACATTATTTAACGGAACCGTTCCAAATTTGGTATTTGAAGTTCGTAATAGACACTGCAGCAGTAAACAGAAAATGGACCATGTAGGTCCACGTCTTCGTATAGGCCCCATATACCGTACCCCCCGATATTCGGTATTTTGATGATTTTAGCGACATTATTTACCGGGATTGTTTTAAATTTCGCATTTGAAGTTCGTAATGGATACTTCAGCCCATGCCAGAAAATTGTCTGTGCAGGTCCACGAATTCGTATAGCCCCCATATAACGGTACCCCCTATATTCGGTATTTTGATGATTTTAGCTACATTATAAACAAATGTTTCTTCAAGTTTCGCATTTAAATGTTGTAATAACTTATGACAAAAGTTGCCTATGCAGGTATACGTCGTCGTATAGACATTCGGTATTTTTAAGATTTTAACAGAATTTTTAAAGGATTTTTTTTTTATTTTATTTATTTATTTTTTTTGGAAATTGCCAAATTTATACCAAATGGTGGAGGGTATTAAAAGTTCGGCCCGGCCGAACTTACAGCTTTTTTACTTGTTTTGTTTATACACATTGTATATATTTCGCTATATATATGTGATATATTTACTATCGGCATCTACGTAACGGTCAGAATTGACCTGTTCGCCTATTTGTGATTTCGCCGGGCCTAAAAACATTTATTTAACACAAATGTTATAGTCTATTTCACCCACTGAATATTATCCGATGACCATCAAAATTAGAAGGCTTCTGCCCAGCCTAAAGCCTAGCCCCATGCTAATTTCCGCGTCGTCGTTCCGTCGCAACTGCAAAATTTTTTGTTTCAGTTTTTGGTCCATTTCGACCCCTAAATATTATGCGATAATCTCCAGAAGAAATATGGTTCTATTCTGACCTTAACCCCGCCTACATTCTAAATTTCGTGAAGATCGGGCCATTATTGCGACCTGCAGAGTGATTACAAATTAACATGGACAGACGGACGGACGGACATACATAGCTAGAACGACTCAGCTCGGCGAGCTAGGAAGATCCATATATACTTTCCTATATGGAAAACCAATATTTCGAGGTGTTACATAATTTTTGGCCCAATCAAACTTATAATACCCCCACACATAGTGTTGTAGGGTATAAATATAAAATTTTTTAGAGGGAATTCATTTATAGAACAGTGTGGCTTGTTTTTCATTTATCTTGAATTGTGACTTCGTTTGAAAAGTACTTTATAGTACAACATAGAATATTGTTAGATCTAAAACCATGGAAATTAGTATTTCTCTTTTGGATTAAGATGTCAAAATTAAATCGAGTTTTGTTTCAATCTTTACGGAAAGAGCTAAAAGAGACGAAATTGAGACAATTTTATAGAGTGCTTGATAAGAGTTTGTACGTTGATATTTTGCATAAGGGTATTCCGTACGCAAATCTCTTAAAAGAATTTAAATTTGGTACTTTTTGAAATGAAATTATACAGTTAAGAAATTTTCAAATGTACCCCACTCAACTTATGTACAACAAGTGAGTAAGGACTGTGGTCGTTCCTACCATATGATACCCCGCAACACTATAATGTGTTGCAAACCTCCTTATGTCCAAATGCATTTTGGTAGATTTCGTGTTATCATATTTCATGCCCCCTGTAGTTTTTGACCTGGGCATCTTAGTATGTTTTATATTTGTAAAGGCTTCTTGAAAACAGCGTTCGAAAATAAACAGTACACTAACATAGTGTACTGTACCGGTACAGTATCACTAAAAATTTTTTTTAGCGGTAGTGTACCGGTACACTACCACTAAAAAATATTTTAGTGATACTGTACCGGAACACAACGATAATCGTACTGTACCGCAGTCGGAGCACTAAAAAATCGTAGTGTACCGCAGTCGGAGCACTAAAAAATCGTAGTGTTCCGGAGTCGGAGCACTAAAAAACGTAGTGTTCCGCAATCGGAGCACTAAAAAATCGTAGTGTACCACATTAAAAAAATGTACTGGCATCAATACGCTTTTTTATGATTTGGGAAAATAATATTAAAGGTTTAATTTTTTAAAGGTTTAATTAATAAAATGATTATAATAAAAGAAATTAAAGATTATCCAACCTTGCAAAATTACACAAAATTCGATATTAGTATCACTCTTTGTATAAGTGGAAATTAAAGAACAAATAAAACAACGTACTGTCATATCTCAATGAAACATACTTAATACTGATTTATTTATAAGTATTTAATTGTTATTACATAAATGTATTTTTTAATAAAAATTGAATTAATTAAACAAGTTAAATATAATAAACATAATATAAATAGAAAGTAAAAAAGGAAATGTAATAAACTAAAAATATAAGTACACCAGTAAGAACATTAATCTGATCCCAATTGGTAATTAAAAATCCCATTGGCTTTTACCATTAATATATGCTCCAAATTTAACGGTGACAATCGATTGCGCTGATCGGATAACATATATTTCATAACTGAAAATAAGCGTTCCACGCTTACTTGTGTTGATGGTATTGCCAGTAAAATATTCGCAATGCCACTAATAATGTTTGAAGAATCCCAATATTGTAAAATATTTGCATTTAGTGGCAATCTTGATTTTCTTTCATAAGTGGATAGATCGGATTCAAAATTATCAATGTTTGAAGAACTCTGTGTAGGCGTGGTAGGATCTAAAGTTTGCAGGTAATCGGAAAAGGATTTCGGTGTGCATGCATTACTTGTTGATGGAGTTTCATCCAGTATTGTGCAGGCCGTATTGTCTGTTGTAGAATCTGAAGAAATAAGGGTAATAGTTAAAAACATATGTATGTATTTTTGGTATTAATATAGCAAACGTACCTTCTTTTGAGTATATTCGCTTATATAACCACACTATGTACATCTGCGCTCTAGTTTTCTGTTCGCTTGTCATACAGACTTTAATACGTGGATCCAAATACACGGCTGCGTTGAAAAGTTCGTTATCAAAAAGTTTATCCATTCTTGTCTTCAATGATTCTTTCAGTATCCCTTTCATTTCGGTATTTGGTAAAGCATCTATTTGGAATGTAATATCCATTATTACAATATATAGTTCGCTATAACACAGCTGTTCAGTTTGTAGTTTCATTGTAGCTGTGTAAATAGGTTTAAATATTCCAACAAATTCACTTGCGAAAGACCAGTCAGCAGAACTAATGAATAATTTCGAATTATCCTTGCTTCATGTAGTTACAACTTCTCTTATTTCCAGCAGTCTTTCAATCATATTGTATGTTGAATTCCATCTTGTTATACAGTCAATTATAGGTTTCTTGTGGAGCCCATTTTTAAAAATACTCATATACGTTTTACTTCGAAGTTTTTTCACTACGAGTCTTAGGTTTTCAGTTTTTTCTTTTATTGTAGGCTGTTTTAGAACATCATTTACACACAGCTGCAGCGTATGGGCGCCACAACGAATGTTAGTAATATGGTGTGAGGATATATTAAAGTCGATTGACTCAATTTCATAAATCGATATTTCACAATCAACTTCTTCTTCGCTATCCTGAGATTCCTCTTCCATAAGCATTTGTAACTCCGAATTCAGCACTTTTACCGTTTTTAACATGTTAGATCCATTGTCGGTTGTAATGGTAAAAATGTTGCGTACATCAACACCATATTCTCTTAGAACTTCCAATATAATAGATTTTATATATTCACCGGTATGACTTGATTTCAGCTCTTTTACTGCCAATGTTTTAACAATGATTTTACCATTTTTGATGTATTGAACATTTATACCGAGCATGCTCAAATCCCACCTGGTTGCTACATCAATCTTAAGAGAAAACAATGTCCCTTTTAAATCATTAGATATTTCCGTTTTAATATTTGTGGAAAATGCGATAATTCGCTCCATTATATTATGCTCATTGACTGTTATTCCGAGCAAACTTAAAACTGGTTCCATAAGAATTTTGAAGGCCCTATCTTCGGCCATATGCAGAGGACGTCCATTTTTGGTGAATAGTTCCACTATTGCTAGTTCGATGTTCCTCGGATTTACATTTCTTCGCAGTAATACTTCGTTAACACAATTTTGTAATTTCATTGCACGTTTTTGTTCAATATAGTTTGCATATTGCTCATGTGATGTGATCTCTTTAAGTGTCTTTCTATATTTCCGGAATGTACACTTAAAATCTTGTTCTTACAACTTTGCAAATTACACACAACTTCGTTTGATTCATTTGTATTGAACATATCTAAAAGAATAATATTTTTAGGTCGCGGCATTTTTGTAATTATTTGCTGAACGTTTGAGAAGAACTAAACAGCAGGATATCGGCTTTTTTGCATATGTTGTAACAAATATTGTTCTTAATAATAAAATACTACCTGTACTCCGATGCGAAATTGTGGCAAACTATATTCTGGATATCAGCACATATGTTGATGTGGTACCTGTACAATGTTTGGTTTTATTTAAGGCTAAACCATAAAACTGATTTTAAACCCTCAGCCATACTTTAAAAAATATTTAATTTTTTGCACCTACATTCACGGATTTTTCAGTACCACAAAGTAACAGGTACATAATCTGCATAAAAACCATTCATTGATTTCATTTAGCGGCCCACCTAAGATAATGAAACAAACTTGACCTTTTACCAAAATATACAATTTTATGGCACTAACTTTTATTACCCATATTCTTGCATTCATTCGTAGAATTTTTGTTTTTAATTGAATGAACCTTTTTACTGGTTCATATATAACGCAATATGCCGAATTTCATGCGTATCCATAAAGACTTGTGGCAACCACTAAAATACCCTTTTTCACGGAGAATTTAAATTTTCAATTTAATTTTCCTTTTTATCCTTTCTACCTAATCTCATATTTTTATACTTTCTTCAATTTCGCAAAGAAAATAAATCCAGCAATTATTTTCATAATATTGAATTGTATTATTTATATTTACATTATAAAAAACATCAAACATTCAATTTTTCCCAAATCGTAAACAACACTCATGTGGTACACTACCGGTACATTATTTTTTTTAATGTTCCGCCATGTGGTACACTACGATTTTGTAGTGATCCGACTGCGGAACACTACGATTTTTTAGTGCTCCGACTGCGGAACACTACGTTTTTAGTGCTCCGACTGCGGTACAGTACGATTATCGTTGTGCTCCGGTACAGTATCACTAAAATATTTTTTAAGGGTTGTGTTCCGGTACGGTACACTATCGTAGTGTACCACTCCACCTCGGTACGGTACAGAACACTATGGTACTGTACCATAATGTTTATTTTCGAACGCTGCTTGAAAACGACCATTTGGATCGCGGTTTTAAATATTTAATACCTTTTAACATAATTTTCGGAATATGCCAACTGGCATATTCGGGCAACACCTCTACGCCACGACGGAGGCTTTAGAACACAGATACCAACAAGCGGAGGCTGTTGTGTTTGCTCTTCTTGTTAAATCATCATCATTTGCTGGCCATGTAAAATTGTAGGTCTCTTCCCTCTCCCAAAATTCTGTTTTTGGTTTATTTCAAACACTTAATACAATAACTACAATCTTTTTTTTTTCGACCCTAATTCCATGCTAAATTTAGTAAGGGTCGAACCATGGGAATTAATTCATATTGGAAATTTGTGTGAAATTAAATAATGCCAACTATGATCGTTTTGAACTGATAAACTTTTGAAACTAAACTATATCTAAATCAGAGTCGGCATTTTTATTCCGTATTTCAATTCATTTACCAAATCGTTTTGCTATACAGTGCATATTATGACTTTGGGAAGGGTTAAATAGAAAATCTGACGAAACATATACATGACAAAGACGCAGAAGTATAAAGATAGAACAAGTCAGAGTCAAAATATTGTCACCAGGTGTAAATACTTCTGTTGTTATGATATCGTAACAACGTAGTTGCCACTATTAAATAATTTAAACCGCTAAGAGCATGGAAATCAATCGGGAAGGTCAATGGAATGGAATAGAATTTCATTTTTCAAACTTTTATCCGTCATTATTTTCTGTACTTGTGTCTTTTATATCAATATGCATCTGTCATGAGCTGTTATTGAAGATATTGTAGCCACAAACCATTTGTTCAGAATGCATTTTTCTAGTCTTTACTAGTTAAAGCCTTTGTACATGGCAGCTATAGGTATATCCATGGTACAATAAAAATTTAAGTTAGAACTACCAGCTGATAACATTTTTTTTAAGTTTGCCCGACTTCTTTTAATTTTGTGTATGTCTACATATATAAACAAGTAAGCAAAGGCTATAGTCGTGCGGGGCCGACTATGTGATACCCTACAACACTACAATATGTTAGAAGCCCCCTTATGTCCAAATCCATTCCGTCGTGCTGTAAGTTGTTGTGATCCATTTTACAGCTAAATATAAACCAATGGTCATCCAAAATGCTAAACTTCTTCTCTGTCCTGAACTCTCTTCTCATGCAAAACTCCGTGTCGATTGGTTTCAATTTCAATTAATTTGAACCCCTAATTATTTTCCGATCATCTCCCTCTGTATCTCAAAATTTAGTCTCATATATATGATTTGCTTGTCTACGATATATGGCTATATTCGTCAACGAAATCAGCATTAAAAAAGCCAGAATTTCGAATTTTGTGTATTTGGGATATCGCCTGTAAGTAATTTTTGTATTTTTTACACAAAATAGTGGTCCATTCTACCCCCTGACCTAAACTCTAACTTCATGAGAGATTTCGTGTCCATTGCTTTAAAAATCAGGGACATTTTCAGTTTTTGGTCCATTTCAATCCCTAAATATATTGCGGACATCTTTAAAAACAATAAACCTAGCCCTACCCTTATGAAAATTTTCGTGAGGATTGGACGATAATTGCAATCTGTATATAATAACACCAACCTGTGTTGTAAGATGAAAAAAATATTACAAAATGTATACTTCAACATTATAAGTCAAATTGAAAAAATCGCATGCGATAAAAAATATGAAAAAAAATATAAAAAATGTCACAAAATACTACAATACCTATATTAACATCATTATTGACATATTTTTATGCGATTTTTTTAGATTTTATACTTATATGCCAAGAGGGCATTCTGTATTGACAAAATTTGTCAAAATCGGTCCAGCCGTACTTAAGATATAAGCATTATAGCTAACATCCCGATACTAAATATATATATATATATATATATATATATATATATATATATATATATATATATATATATATATATTATATATATATATATTATATATATATGTATATATATTTACTATCGGCATCGACGTAACGGTCAGAATTGACCTGTTTGCCTATTTGTGATTTCGTCGGGATTAAAAATATTCGCGGTTTAATGCAAAATTTGACTTTTATTTAACACAAATGTTATGGTCTATTTCACCCACTAAAACACATAGTGTTGTAGGGTATAAAAATAAAGTTGTGTTAGCTACTACGCTTATAATTGAGAACCGCTGATCTGGTTTGACAAATTTAGACAACGTCAGAATTGTCTCTTGGCAGAAAAAGGAAAAAATTAAAAAAAAAACGCGTAAGAATTTGAAGTTTGAAAATTTTTATTTTAACTTTTGAAATGTACAATTGTAATATTTAATTTTGCATGATTTTCTTCTATTTTGACTTATGGAGGGTATATTAATTTTATCACTCCGTTTGTAACTTCCCAAAATACTCATGTCAGATACAACAAAATATATATCTATATATATATAAGAAATTTGTGTTAGTTACTACGCTTATAACTTAAGAACCGCTGGACTGATTTTAACGATTCATACAACGTCGGAATTGTCTCCTGTCCGAAAAGGATAATATCCAAAAAAATCGCGTAAAAATGTGATATATTAACATTTTCATTTTGACTTTTCAAATGTCGAAATAATTTAACGTGGTCACACCACAGTTAAAGGATAATTACTTTTTCTAAATCGCTAAAAAATCACGAAAAAAGAGATATTATTGCAAAAATTCTCAAATCGGGAAAAAATCGAAAAAAAAAATCAATGGAATCGAATTTTAAAATAATAGTACATTCTATTGACAAACTTTGTAAGGATCTTTAAACATTTGCTGTAAAAAATCAGCGAACAAGTTGAAGATTTTTTCAATTTGTTATTCTTCTTTTGTCAATTTTTTTTTTTCAATTTGTATTATCACATTGAATTCAAT